TTATACATTTCTCTCATACGTGTAAAATGCAACTTCTGCCGTTTTTCTTTCTCCAGTTACTTATACATTTCTCTCATACGTGTAAAATGCAACTTCTGCCGTTTCTCTTCCTCCAATTACTTATACATTTCTCTCATACGTGTAAAATGCAACTTCTGCCGTTTCTCTTCCTCCAGTTATAATAGTTTCTTTTTTACTTCCTGAACTGGGAAGATAGAAAAAGTAACACTTTATGTATATTACAGAGAATTAAATAAAAAACAAGGGGATCCACTGGTATAATGGAAAGATTAAGCGCTAAATTTTCTGATCGTGCTTACTTTTTGATTTTGTTTACGAGCTTAACAACAAGGTCCCACACAGGTAATTTGAATAACGAGACGTATCACTAGTGAAAAATGTATATGCTAACGTTTTCCCTCAGTAATATTACAGTTTACTAATTACAAGTAAGTTAAATTACTTATGTAACTGAAATGGAAATAGATGATGAAATGTATTATTAAAATCAAAATCTATTAACAAATAAATATCTAAACCAAGGTAGTGTTTAAATAATGGGCGATATTGTGTGATTATTGTAAAGAAATGTGTCTTCCTCTAGGTAGAATGTTTCACGTTCTTTATCACTTGGTGTCGTCGCCATCATTAGTGGTGACCCATTGTGATTTTATATTTCAAATGTGTCACATGAGGAATATAAATATATGACAAAACGTTAACGTACAGTTACTAAAGGCTCGTATCAGTTGCTGTATCATTTGTCGTCGCCATCATTAGTGGTGACCCATTGTGATTTTTATATTTCAAATGTGTCACATGAGGAATATAAATATATGACATAACGTACAGTTACTAAAGGCTCGTATCAGTTGCTGTATCAATTGTCGTCGCCATCATTAGTGGTGAACCATTGTGATTTTATGATTTTATATTTCGAATGTGTCACATCAGGAATATAAACATATGATAAACTTAAATGTACAGTTACTAAAGGCTCGTGTCAGTCGCTGTATCATTTGTCGTCGCCATCATTAGTGGTGAATCATTGTGATTTTATATTTCGAATGTGTCACATGAGGAATATAAATATATGATACAACTTAAACGTACAGTTACTAAAGGCTCGTGTCAGTCGCTGTATCAATTGTCGTCGCCATCATTAGTGGTGACCCATTGTGATTTTATATTTCGAATGTGTCACATGAGGAATATAAATATATGACAAAACGTTAACGCACAGTTACTAAAGGCTCGTATCAGTTGCTGTATCATTTGTCGTCGCCATCATTAGTGGTGACCCATTGTGATTTTATATTTCGAATGTGTCACATGAGGAATATTAATATATGACAAAACTTGAACGTACAGTTACTAAAGGCTCGTATGAGTCGCTGTATCATTTATCGTCGCACTTATTCACTCGAAACTGGAATATATTTAATGATTTCGCCACTATTTTTAAATTAAAGACTTATGAATAAAACAAATAACGTTTGGCTACATTATCATATTGATTTCAATTTTTGCAGGGTGCTTAGAGAAGCCCATTAATATCAGTGTATAATTTAGTTTTCTTTAGTAAACTTATACAGCAGTGTCGAGATGGCTTCCTTCGTTTTCAAAATCAAAGACCCAGGAAAACATTAATAGCAAACATAGATATTTCCAAACTCATCTTTATTATTATTATAATAATGCCTGAATTTGTTTTATCTCCATCTGTATATCGATTTGGTTGAAGTACATTCAATTCGTAGCTAAACAATTACGATGCTATCTAAAATTACAGCATTGTGCATTCTTACGAAGATTTAGAGATTTGGAGGGCTCCAATTAGGAAGCTTAATTTAGGCTAGTTGATATCATGTTTGTACACCTAAAGGCAAGAGACATTGACCTGTGACTTCTCAGATTAGCTATTTCTGTCACTTGTCACTAATCATTCTGATAACATGTTATTGTAAACTATTTACTATATGATTAGCTATGTTATAGGATATGAGAGTGTGAATTACGACGTTTACTGTAGACGTAACACTATGGAATATTTTCCATGTATTTGTAGTACTTTCATGCTACATTAATTTTTACACCATTTCTGAGGATTAAAGTTCCCCTTCTATGTTTCAACTGAATATAATTAGCATAAACCAATGCTTTTAGAATAGGTTTTTTTAAATAAGACTTCCCCCAAAAGTAACGTTTTCAAAGCTAACGATAAAGTTTTGGCTTGCCATCAATAAAGTTGGTGTTTAATAGCATTTTGTTTTCTTATGCATGCCGTGTTATGTTAGATAAATAGAGATAAAAATAAGGAAAATAATCACCTTCGTAATATGTCTAAACATTATCTTGTGCGGCCTATGAATTAGTTGTGAATTTCCATAATTAGTTTAGAGTACACCTTAGCAGATACATTCAGGTATTTTTCTTCTCTAAATTTTCACGTAGTTTCTTTATGTAGATAATCCAATTCTTGTCAAAAGGATCCGAAATGTCGTAAACATGTACCAATTCTTTTAGTCAGGTAAAGTTTCATACGCCACAGGATAGAAACTCGTATCACTTTGGTTTTGTTCTTGAAACCCCTGGAATGAAAGTGGGGGGATGAGCCCATCCCAAGAGATGTTACAGATACTTATACAAATTGATCTGAATTAAAAAGTTTCCTCCTTATATATATATATATATATATATATATATATAT